ACCTGAGGCACACCCACAATTCATAAAGATGTGTCCTCTTTCTCTCAACTTCCCTGTAGGGACTGTGAGCTACCAGGAGGTGTGGGAGAGCCACAGACTTTTACTCTTTTCTATTCTCTTCTTTCCAGAGTGATGTTGCCCAACTGCAAGAATTTGGGTGCCATCTTTCACATGTGTTAGCAGTAGCCATTATAGTCACACCTTTTATTTGTGTGTTTTAATTCACAGGTATTTTCATACTTATCATTCACACTGGAAATGAGAATAATTGATATATTCAAATGAGCAAAACACAGACTTTCTAGAATCTTACTATTCCTCTTCAATCCTACTTGTACACTAGCCACTTCTTTTCTGAGTTTGTCTGTTTGTCATAGTACCTTGCCACAGCAGACAATAGCAATCAAAGCATTTTCTTACATCTGTTGGCCCAGTTCTGCCCAGAGCCACAAGCTCATTAGGGATATTATTTGCCTTACAAGCTATCACAGGTGACAGTTTTACCAAATTCACCTTCCAGCCTTCAACAGACATCTCCTCACTGCCAGCCACCTAGCCCCAAGGCCAGCACCATGTTTTAGGATTTGTTAAATCAGCCTTTGAGGCACTGATTCCTGAGATACCAGGTCACCCCAAAATCTTACTGCTTTACAGCAAGAATATTTTATTTCTTGTCCTCACTATATTGCATCATAGGCTGACCCACCATTTATAAAGCAAGATGATGGAGCAGGCTCTATAAAATATTTTGTCAGTCACTGGAACAAAGAGGAAAGAGATCAAGAAGAATCACATGCAGTTTCTTAAAGATTCTGCTTAGGAGTGACATGTATCACTCTGACTCACATTTCATAAGCAAATCACATGGTTACTCTGATACCTAGACTGGGGAGCTGCAGGCAATAGTACTGTCTTCTACAGTTGCTCAATCTTCCACTATGGTGACAAAATACCTGAGAAAATCAAGATTCATTTTGATTCATGGTTTCAGAATTTTCCGTCCATAATTTTTTGGCCCTGTGGTGTTTGGGCCTATGGAGAAGCTATCTGTCATGGTAGAAGAATGTGGTAGATTACTATACCTAGTGAGGAACCTACTTACCTAATGGTAGTCTGGAAGGAAAGGGAGAGAGGGAGGGAGGGAGGAAAGCAGGGAGGGATTGAGAGAGAAAGAGAGAGAGACAGAGAGAGAAGAAAAGGGAAGAAGAAAAGGGAAGGGAAGGGGAGGAAAGGGAAGAGAGGGGAGAGGAGAGAGAGAAAGGGGACAGGCATTCCCCAAAGGGCTCACTCCTTTTAATGTCCTGCCTTTTAAGTTTCTATCACCTTTGAATAGGTCATCAAATTATAAACCCATCAATGGATTAATCCCTTACAATTAATGGTCAGAGCCCCCAGGATCTAATCACTTTTCAAAGCCCCACCCTGGACATGGTTGCATTTGGGACTAAGACTTCAACAATTAGACTTTGGGGACATTCTAGATCCAAACCAAAACACTTGCCTACATTTTCTTGTCTATTCTTTGTGATTTTCTACAATAACAAACATGTCATTTGCAAATAGAGAAAAAATTTTAAAAACAAAGAATATTTAGGAGACACACTTAAAAACAGCCTTAAGCAGAAGAAAAATGAATATATTCTGTAGTAAAATGTTCTTGAATTTCAGCCTGAAAAGGGTGAACTGAATGGTTGGCCAATAAGGAATGCTTTTAATTTGCATTTTGTTCAGCCTTTAAACAACACCTCTGAGGCAGAGAGCTGTTGACTACTGAAAGGAAGGAAGCCTTATGTACAGTGGCCATCGTGGATCCAAAGTACAGAATGGCTGTGTATCCCTTGAGTGAAGCCATGAGAGATGGCTCTGAGATCTCCTAACTGATGTGCCCCGCTCTTGGTCTCATGCATCCATCCATTAAATTGTGACCTCACAGCTGAGTTCCATTTCTTCTAACCCCATCTTTATGTATCACAATGTAATCTTAAAGGTTCCTCAAGGAAATTATTACTCTTTGGAAATGTTACTAAATATTTCAGATCATTTGCCTTTCTGCCTTTTGTGTTTCAAATAATAAGGCTCCCACAGGGAGCAAACATCTTTAAATGTATTTGATCTGCCTTTTTACCATGTGCTATTCTAGTCTTCTGTTTGGAACATAAAAATCATTTCCACAGCAACTAATTATAGTATAAGTCACAAATGCTGGATTACTACTGCTAGTAAGGAATTAGAAGCAACCACCATGCAAATATTAAAAGCTCTTATTTTTGAAGTTCTCTCCCAAGTATAAGCTCATAAAATGAAGGAAAAGCATACAATATCCAATATCCAATGTAGACATGAACCCTCCAAGTGTGAGCAGCTAGGCATTAACCTGAAGAAGATTCTTTTCTGCCTTACATCTTGTACCTTTGTCAAGATAAGCCACACATATTTGTATGTGTCCATCCCTGGCCAATTCCACACTCTCTTGATTACCACACCTCAACCCTTAGTGTCTGGTAGAGTGACTCCATTCTGGTTTTTTTTGTTTGTTTGTTTTGGTTTGGTTTGTTTTTTTTTTTTGGCAGCACTGGGGTTTGAACTCAGGGCCTCACCCTTGCTAGGCAGGCGCTCTTACCATTTGAGCCACCCCTCCAGCCCTTTATGTGTGTGTGTGTGTATGTGTGTGTGTGTATGTGTATGAGATGGGTTTTTTCAAGCTGGGGTTTCATGACCTATTTGCCCAGGCTAGCTTTGAACTGAAATCCTCCCAATCTCTGTCTCCTGAGTGGTAGGATTACAGGTGGAGCCACCATTCTGTTCTTCATCAAGATTGTTTTAGCTATTCTAGAGTCTATGCCTTCCACATACATTCTAGAATAAGTTTCTCTATGTCTGTCTAGGTTTTAATAGGGATTGTATTATAAATCTATGGATCAATTTAAAGATAATGACATGTATTTTTGAGTGTTCAATACAATGAACACAATATGTCTCTTAATTTAGTAGATCTTTGACAACCTTCATCAGCATTTTATTTTACTTATTTATTTTTTGGCAGTACTGGGATTTGAACTCAGGGATTTGTACTTGCCAGGCAGGAGCTCTACCACTGATGCTAGGCCTCCAGCCTTCATCAGCATTTTGTAATTTCAGTATAAGATCCTGTACATGGAGACAATACCATACTGCATATTACTAGCCCAGAAATGGTCAAAATTCAAAATCTAAAAGTTCTTCTTTTCCTTCTTCTTTTTCCTTTGAGGTTCTGGAGATTGAACTCAGTACCTCATGCTTGCTAGGCAAGCACTCTACCACTTGAGCCACACCCCTTCAGATGGTAGGACTCTGGGCTGGTGCTTGAAAGCTGGACCTGGCTCCTGCCAGCACTGTTCTCCGCAGTGTCACATTTATCACATCAAGCTAGGATTCCATTATTCCTTGTTTTTGCCACTTCCCCATCACACATAACTTCCACAACTACCTACTTGTAACTCCAGCTCAGTGTATAATAACATTTTTACTGCTTGTTACTTTTACATAAAATATTTCCTGGATTTTATTATTCAAATAAGAGTCTTGGTGTGGTGGGGGTTTTGTGAATGCACAGGAAAGTCTCAATTCTGCACCATGCATTCATTTATTTCACAAATCCTCTGCAAGGCCCCAGGCTTGGTGGGCACAGCAGGGAGCAAAAGCTCAGGCTACCATGGATGATGTGCATTGAACAGGAGCAGCTGACTGAGGAAGGTCAGGAGGAGGTGCCAGAGAAGGCCCCTTGAGGTCATGCCTGCAGGGAAGACTTGGATGAAGTTGGGGAAAGAGTTTCTTAAGTTTAAGGGAAGGACAGGGTTGAATGAGGTGGGAACTACTGTGCTGGGGACCAGTGCGTGGACCAGAAAGCAACCGGCACCTACCCTGAACAATGGAGGTAGCCCTGTCCTCATTGAGCTCACTTACTCCAGGAAGACAGTGGAAACAAGAAATGAGTGCTTGAGGAGCAAGTGCAGTGTCGTGTGGGGACAAAGGACAGCTTTGGAAGTGACATCTCTAGTGACTCTTGAGGGTGAACAGGTAACAGGAGAGGAAGTGAAGTCAAGGGAATGAGAAGGGGTCACCAGGGAATAACCTGAGGGGAGAGACTTAAAGTGAAGAGACATGGGCACCTACAACTGCCCAGAGAGAGTGATGGCAAATGCAGGGACCTTCTACCAGGGGCCCATCCTTGTAGTAAAATCCAGACTCTGCAGGTAGTGCTGTACCTAATCAGGTAAGCAACCATCATGGTCCAAGCCAGTTAAAGTCACCTGTTCCTCCTTTTCAGGGCAGAGTTCAACTGGCCTCCCTGTAGCTGGGGCAGCACAACTCTGCTGGGAAAGTGGGGTGCAGCAGATATCTGCAGTGGGATCCAGGGAGTATTCTGGCCCTCCAAATCAGAGAGAAGTGTGAGACCAGAGCCCTGCACCTGTCCTCTCCACTTGCCTAAGAGGCGGCAAGTCCTCTACAAGGAGGAACAAAAGCTAGCAGCCAAAGAACAGTGGCTCAGAAAGACAGCTAGGATTCCGATGGCAGAACTACACTGGTCAACAAAATCCAAGGCCTCCTGCCTCTGGAGTTCTCTCAGAGTGAGTCATTCAGATGAAGACTGCCACCTGCAGCCTAAGCACTCCTGCCCTCTGATGGGTGGGGACACAGAGAGGACATTTGCCCTCTTTTGTGAGGGCTGGTTTCAGCTCGCATGCCCAGCACCCAGGCTTCCTTTTCTTCTTATGTGACTTGCACTTGCTATTTTTTCAACATTTTATTTATTACACTCTCTTTTACTGAGGAAGAGTCATCAGTTCTTTCGTAATTAGAAAGTTCTTGGCTTCCCAGCTATCCACCTTCTTTTCAAAATGATTAACTATGAGAAAAAAACCTTACTTCTTTCTCATGAAAATAGCCTTGGAATAACTTCAGACTTTTAAAATCAATCTGCATTCCTGCAGATCTGGTAATATTATGTCTTGCTATCTTACCACTGTGAAGTCAGGATAGAAAATACATCATCTCTTTCAGATTCCTGGAATAACTTCAAAAGTTCTGGATCCCCAGATAAATGTGCAAGAATGCGCAATTCGATCTGTGAAAAGTCTGTAAGACAGAGCTCTGCATTAATTCCGGATTCACCAATGATGCTCTCACTTTTGCTCCACCCCCAGCCCATGCTCAGATTGCCTTCTTAGGCTACATCCTGCCTCCCATCTGCCAGGCTCCCCTGCCTCAGGGCCACTGGCCATTCTCTATGTCCTCAAATTCAAAAACTTGTGCTGCCTCCTGTGAGGCCAGCAAGGCCTCCAGGGGTAGCAGTGTTCATTCATTTGTTCATTCATTTATTCCATACATCACAATTTCATAAAGGGACGTCCATGTGCCTGACTTAGTGCTTGAGATGTGTTAGTGAACATATGGACACAATTCCCTTCCCCCCATGGAGCTTACATTCTAGAAGAAGGAGACAGACAGTTTGAAGGAATTATTTGCTATGTCAGAAGGCAAGAAATGAAATGGAAAATATTGATCCCAGTAAGGAGTTTGTTTTGGGAGTGAGTGGTGTGTATATATAGGAAGTTGCTGTCACGAATGGGGTGGTCAGCTCCCCTGCTTGTGGACTTTATCAAGAAAGTGACCCTAAGCAAAGACACAAGAAGCAAAGGAGGGAGCTAGGATGGCATCTGGGAAGAGGAGGGTTGCAGGATGTGAGGTGTAGGAGAAGCAGGCTGGTCAACGCTGGTGGCTGCTCTGAAAGAGCAGGGGGAGGCAGCAGGTGAGAGGACCCAGGAGGAGAGAGACAGGTTGAGTGGGTCATATTGAAGGGACCCTAGAAGCCAAAGACCTATTATTTAATGTGCATAAGAAATATTTGTTTCATATAAACATTTACATTCAGACTTATTTGAAAGAATGAGTTATATAAGTATCCTTGAATTACTCTAAGTATTTGAGCTGCATGAAAATGCATACAGTGTGCTCCACCCTTGGTCCCACATACCTGCTGCCAGAAAGGTGTGGCCTTCAGAGGAAACAAACAGGGTCCTTGGGGAGATGGTGAGGGTCTCCTCTTCTTTACCTGAGTTGTCATTTCAAGAGCACATGGTGAGTTTGGCTGTGAACTGACTTGTAGCTATTCCTTACAATTGGGTGAGTTATTTAAAATCACCCAAAGGTAACTGTAGATTTTTAATTTGTGACTACTTATATTAATGTAATTTAAAAGTAACATTGCTATTAAATGCTAGTCAGATTTTTTAAATTAAAATTTCCTATTCTGTCTACAATTCTGATGAAGAAAGGAAAAAGTCAGCTATTGACAGCTGAATTCATTCTGGTAAAAATACTGGAGACTGAACCTCACTGATAGGAAGCCCTACATGGCTGGCCCATGCAGCTAAGATGTTCTCACTAGAGACGATGACAAGGGGTGGGAGGGGACAACGTTGCTTGGTCACCTTCCCTGGCTCTGTTCAAGCATGTCCAGGTGCATCTATCTAGAAAGGACTGCTTGGTGCTTGGCAATGCTGTAAACCCCCACCTCAGCCAGCGCCACAGCAAAGGGGCAAAGGGGCAGCACTGGCTTGGACACAGGTTACTGGGAGAGGCAACACAGCACCAATTGTTCAGATTTGAACTTCTTTTTTTAGAAGTGTGACCATCCACATTACAGTGGAACAGCTCAAAACAAAGGATGTTATTGTACTTTTATAAACAATTCCAGCAAGTTTCAAACTTTAATAAAAAACAGTGCCATTGTATGTTTTTTGTTTTTGTTTTTTACCCAGAAGTTGGTGGGGGAAAGAAGGTGGGAGAGGAGCTACTTCCCTGGTATAATTACCATCTATTTTAACTTGTAAACTGCTAAAAGGGAGGTACAATATCACTTCAGTTGCTTTTTATTTCTTCAATGTATATTTAAACACCAGTCATGGAAATACAGAGAACTTCAGGAAAGTAAAGCTGTTAGTTTTATAGAAAAGCAATCACAAACACATCTATATTTTAAAAGGTTTCCAAAGGTTTTAGTAAGTAGAAAGAAATTTGTTACCTTTAAAAATTTGAGGTTTAGTAATCTGAATTGGGTGCTTAGAGATACCTTGGATATTCTGTTAACAATAAGAAGAGAGTAACTTCAATTGAAATAGCTACTCTTAAATTAATCTGTACCGTTTAAGGGTATTTAAAATGCATAGTATTTATTTGACATGAACAAAATAAGTGATGGCAGTGTATCATGCATAATGATACATAATGTATCATGATAATGAGTAATGCTATGTTTCATGTGTTAACACTGAACACAATATCTAGGTACAATCAGCAAATTTGAAGCTAACACTGACTCTAGCCAGTGCTACCCTTATTGTAACACATACTGTGACCCTACAGCAGCCCAAATCATCACTCAGTTAACCTGAAAATTCCTATGGAATATGCTATAGATATACTTCTATGAAATTTGTATATTGTACTTTAATTTAAAAACATAGTTTAAGATGAAAATTCTGGTCTCTGCCCCTAGTCTTCCCTCCTTTGCTCTTCCTAGTGCCTGGGACCAGTCTCTGTCTTAGCTTGCCCGGGCTGGTGGTGGCTGCAGCTGCATCCCCCACAAATACTCAAGGGACATTTGTTAAGCACCTTTACTTTGCACCCGCTCATCTTGGGGTAATGAGTAATAGATGCTTCTGGCCTGTTTCCACCATTCAAATCATGAGAATTTTTGTAATAATAGCTGCCTGATACTTGGCAATGACACATCACTTTGTCTGGTAATGCAACTCTTTAGTGCTAGTTGGTCCAATTCCTGGGCTAGAGCTGATGAACTCTGCTGTAGTGCAAACTTCTGAGCACCTGTCTTGCAGGTAACACTCTTTAGGTCCCCAGAAACCCTGTGGGAGTATAAGGCAGGCATTCCCATCCTCGTATTTTAAGGCAAGGACACTGAGGCTGTCAAGAGTTCCATATATTAGAACACGTGATACTTTTTTAAAATACTGAATAGTCACAGGAAAACTCAACAGTAGAGATAAAAGAAAAAAGCCAGTGAACTTGAAGGTAGATCAACAGAAATTATCCAATCAAAAAGAGAGAAGAAAAACAGGAAAAAAAATTAACAGAGCCTCAGGAACCTGTGGGATAATATCAAAGATAAATATCTAGTCATATTATTTTATCCTTTAAAGGAGAAAAGAAAGAGATTTGTGTGGAAGTTATTTAAAAAGAAATAATGACTAAAATTTTTCTAAGTGTAGTGAAATACAAAATTTTTCCAATTCAAGAAGATAAGCAACCCTAAATATGATAAATTAAAATAAACCAGGCCCAGAAACATCATAATCAAACTGCTAAAAAACAAAGATAGAGAAAAAATGCTGAAAGCAAGCAGAACAGAACAACACATTACACACAGAGGAAGAACAATATGGACCATGGACTTCCATCAGGAGCTATGTGCAGGGGAGACAGTGCAGCAACTTGCCAGTGCTATCAACTCAGAACTCTCTTCAGCAAATACACCCTCCAGGAGGCAAGGGAGTTAAAGACATCTTAGACAAACAAAATTTAAGAGAATCTGTAGTCCTGCTCTGGAATAAATGCGAAAGGAAGTTCTCAGGACAAAAGGAAATGTTTCCATAAGGAAGGCTGGAAGTTCAAGAATGACGTGTAAACAGCAGAAATGATTAATATCTGGGTAAATTTGACAGCTTTTTAAAAAGCTCTTTAAATTGATGGCTGTTGAAAACAAAAATTATAAAATTTTCTGGTGGTGTTTTAAAAATATGTAGAAAATCATATAAAACACATGACAATCATAGCAGAAAGTGGAGAAGTTTGGAAAGTAAGCCTTTTGCATACTGCTCAAATTGATAACACATGAAATCTAATGGTAATGTCTAACAAATTTAGATAATGTGCTGATTTCTATAGCAATCACTAAAATATTATACAAAGAAATACAGCCCCAAATCCATTACATAATTTGAAATTAAATCCAAAAAAAATCAGTAATTCAAAGGAAGGCAGGAAAGACGGAACAGAGCAACAAAAAATAGAAGAGATCAAAAAGTAAAATAGTAGAACCTACTACAGACCTAACAATAATCACATTAAATTTAAAATACTTTAAGACGTATTAATTAAAAGACAGATAATCAGATTGTACAAAAACAAGACTCAACTGTATGTTGTCTATAAGAAATCCACTTTAAGACTGGTGGAGTGGGTCAAGTGGTAAGAGCACCTGCCTAGCAAGTGTGAGGCCCTGAGTTCAAACCCCAGTGCCACACACACACACACACAAAAAGAAATCTACTTTAAATAGGATATAGATAGATAAAAAGTAAATGGATGAGAAAAGACATGCCATGTAAACACTAATAAAAAGACATTTGGAGTTGCTATATTTAAGGCAAATTTACAAAAAGAATACAATAAACCTAAGTGTGTATGCATCTAAGAACAAAACTTCAAAATGCAGAAGGCAAAAACTGATAGAACTGAAATACAAAATAGACAAATCCACAATCCCTCTTAAAGACTTACAACCCCTCTCAGTGATATGCAGAAATGTAGTCAAATCAGTGAGGAGTTATATATTTATAAATCTGAACAATACTATAAACTTTCCTGATCTAATCGACGTTTACAGACCAATATATTCAACAATCGTGAACGCACATCCTTTTCAAGAACACATGAAACATTCATCAAGGTAGACCATATCATATGTAAAAAACAAATTTTAAGAAAATGAAAAGAACTGAATTTATTCTAAACATATTCTCTGTGACCATAACAGAACTAAAGTAGAAACACGATTAGATATCTACTAATTTTAAAAGATATCTAGAAAGTCCCAAATTTTTGAACATTAAAAGTCACACTTCTTAGTAAATCAGGGATTCAAGAAGTCTCAAAGAAGAAGCCTCAGAAGAACTTAGGAAATACATTGAGCAGAAAAATAAAATGCAGCTTATTGAAATTTATGGGAAGTAGCTAAACCAGTACTAACAAATTTTTAGCAATAAACATGCATATTGGAGAAGAAGAAAGAGCTCAGTAATATAAGATTCTACTTTAAGAAACTAGGAAAGAAGAGCAAATTAATTCCAATGCATGTAAAAACAATAAAGAGCTAAAATTAGGGAGTTTGAAAATAGACAATCAATAGAGAAAATCAATAAAAGCCAGTGACCAATAAAGTTTATAAACCTCTATTCCAACTGTTCAAGAAAAAAGGTAAGGCAGAAAGCAATCAATTTAATGAATAAAAGAGTGACTTCCCTACAGAACTCACAGAAACTAAGGGCAGTAAAGAAACACTACAAACCATGCTGTGCCCCAAATTTGAACATACAGAAAAAATGGGCCAGTAATTCCTTGAAAGATGCAAACTACCAAAATTCACTAAGAAAGAGATAGAAATCTAAATAGAAGGCATCTAGAGCAAAAGTTGAATTAGTATCAAAAGCTTCCCTACAAGGAGAACTCCAGGCCCAGAGTTCCAGTGATGAATCATGCCAAATATTCCACCTTTACCATATTTATAAAAGCAAATTAAAGGGGATGGAATATTTCCTAACTTTTTTTATGAGGCCAGTATTATCCTGAGCAAAACTGGCAAAAGACCTTAAAGGAAAGAAGACTACATTCCTCAGGAAAATGGAAAAAATCGTAAACAAAATATTAGAGAATCCAGCAATATATAAAAGGATAATTCACCATGATGAAGTGAGACTAGCCCCACAAATCCCAGCCTTAATGGTTTAACATTTGAAAATCTATCCATGTTATTCACCATATTATTAAATCAAAGAAGAAAAACATCACATGATGTCTTAATAGATGGAGAAAAGGCATTTGTTGAGATTAAATATCCATCCACACTGGCAAAGTGACTCAAGCAGTACAGTGTCTGCCTAGCAAGCATGAGGCCCTGAGATCAAACCCCACTATTGCCAAAAAAATTATATCCATCTATAATTTTTTAAAATGCACTCTCAGCAAACTAGAAATAGAAGGGAACCTTCTTTTTTTTATTGTTTTATTATTCATATGTGCATACAATGCTTGGGTCATTTCTCCCTCCTGCCCCCACCCCTCCCTTACCACCCACTCCTCCCCCTCCCTCTCCCCCCCACCCCCTCAATATCCAGCAGAAACTATTTTGCCCTTATTTCTAATTTTGTTGAAGAGAGAGTATAAGCAATAATAGGCAGGAACAAGTGTTTTTGCTAGTTGAGATAAGGATAGCTATACAGGGAGTTGACTCACATTAATTTCCTGTGCGTGTGTGTTACCTTCTAGGTTAATTCTTTTTGATCTAATCTTTTCTCTAGTTCCTGGTCCGAAGGGAACCTTCTTAACAGAAGCAATGGCAAGACTTAAAAGTAACATCATCCTTAATAGTGAAAGAGTCAATATTTTTCCCGTAAGATCAGAAACAAGGCAAGGATGTTTGCTCCCAACCCATATAAAGTATTATATAAGAAATCTTAGCTAGTACAATAAGGCAAGAAAAAGAAGTAAAAAGCATACAGTAGAAAAGACCACAAGTCACTGAAAACATAATCATCTATGTAGAAGATCCATGGAAACAGAAAAGCTTCCTGGGACTAATAAGTGAGTTTACCAAGTATTGGAATATAAAATAAATATGCAAAATTAATCCTAGGTCTAATATTACCAATGAATGAATGGACATTGGGATCTCTTACAGAGGACTATCTTGGTAGGAATAAACTGACACCGATCAGGCAAGAACCACAAAGGCATTTTCCAGTGAGAACAAGTTTCCTGTGAGAGGGACACCTGATCATGGGTTGAACACTTAAACATTAGACTGCCTGCCAGAAAATCTTCGTGATTATGAGTTTACAAAGATTTTTCAGATACCTACCAAAAGCATGATCCATAAAAGAGCTCCATCAAACTATTTTTTTTGGCAGTACTGGGGTTTGAACTTATGGCCTTATACATGTTAGGCAGGCACTATACCACTTAAGGCATGCCCTCAACCCCTTTTTCTTTAATTGTTTTTCAAATAGGGTCTCATGTTTTTGCCCAGACTGGCCTGGACTGCAATCCTCTTGATCTCTGACTCCCG